AGCCTCGTGGGGATATAGAGTGCAATAAGAGAGCTTGGTATCTTGTCAGTGTTTCTCCCAGTTTATGCTTGGTAGTTTTTGATCATTTTTCGCAAATGCTCTTTCCCCATTTATTGACCTCTGCAGACATAACGCGATGCGGAACTCGCAACTTAAAGAGGAAAATGTGTCTATGTTCATGTAGTATATAGAGCGCCGACGACAAAGTTTTGAAGTGAAATAATGAGTTTGAATGTGTGATTTTCAGATATATAACTGCGTCGTGTAGTGATTTATTTTTATCAGAAGTTAGTTCGCGTAAATGTTAAAATTTAAGTAAAGTGCGTTTTAGTCTAACAGAGGAGTATTACAGTTCCCTGAACAAACTATTAATAGTTACCACTAACTGTTCCCTGAACAGTTCCATAATAGAATACTGGGTGGGGTGGAATCGTTGTACTATGATGTCAAAAATTAATAAGATCAAAAAATTGATTGAATAGCTTTGTCCAAACTCAATTTATTTGCATGTTGCTTGAATTTTCTTCTTGGGGAAGAGAAACGCAACAATTTAACATTCATGCAATATTTTCAGTTCTAGCTCTCAAATGCCAAGAATGTGCAGACATCTCAGGATACCCATCATCATTCAGTTCGTGTACCAGTCAGGATATCAAATCCATCGAATGCACTTCTCCAGGCTTTGATAGCTGTATGACTTTCAAAATGACCGTGCAAGTACCTGGGGAAAATCCACTCAACGCAGAGATGAGGAATTGCAGCTCCAGGAGCTTGTTTTGTGACAAGAACAGCAACCTCGATTGTAAGTGAATATTTGCTGCGACAATCTTGAGATCGGTGCTCCTTTCTTCACTCCCCCCCTACCCCCTACCCCCTCCCCTCCCCCCTCATGATGCATGGAAGTGGTTTAATAAGCTTTCAGACACACCGTCAATCATTTTATAATTTTCAATGAAATTCGTTGTAGCTAGTGAAAAGGAAAATGTCAATGAGCCTAGCAAAAGCACATCTAGACGATAATGCTCGAGAAATATTACATCATAATTGGAGTCTACATGTCGCACAAAGAGGCAATTGTTTCCTGTCAACATCAAAACGGAAAATTAAACTTTTCCAATTTGTCTTCTTCTTAAAGCGTATCCGAAAAGTTCCGTTTTCCTTGGGTAATTTTAATCCCGAAGCTACTCCAGCTGTTCCTGGATATAGAGTTTCGTTCGCAAATCTATTCGGGAGTATAACGGTTAACTGCAAGTCCTCAAAGGGTCAAATGATTAAGCCCCAATCCTCTCTACTAAACTTACCTTAGCGTGATGTTTTCTTTGCAGTGTGCAAACTTACCAACGACAGTACTGGTGGCATATTGACTGCTTGTTCCACAGTCTGCTGTGAAGGTGACATGTGTAACATAGATCCTGCCCGCCCTTGGAGTCTTCGAGGATTACTTCGCGGATTAAACTAAATGAAATTGACAATTTGTGATTTTTAATAAATTTCCAAGTCATGATATTTTTGTAGAATAAATGTTCTCCGCATCATTTTTTAGCAGTAAAGTACAAGATTAATTGTAAACGCCTCTGCCACGAAGAGGGAAATAATGATAGAAATAGTATTTTTAGAAAATAATTTTTATAAGGACTTTGGCAAAGCGAATAGAAATAAAAAAGGCACCTTATTGCATAGCCTAGTTTTTGTCTTTGCAGACGTTTCGGAAGAGAACCGCTTTTCTTTCAATAAATGCATTATGCTAATGCTGACAACGTTGTTCACGGATTAACAGTTTGTCGCAGTCTTTTGGGAGATCATTACATTCTTCTTTGTTGTTAAGTTTTGGCCTCCTTTTTCTGCTCATTCATGCTGAAAGCAATGATTGAGGTATCGTGGTGTAGCAGTTGTTGATGGAAGTTGTCGACCGTGGACGGAAGTTGCGTCTTGGACTGTAAACGGAAGTAGTCTTGCATGCTACCCCTCCCCACTTAGTGAAAGTTAAAATTAATTTCAATGAAGCTCAGAAGCTCACGTGGAAAGAAATAAAATGTTTGTATGGTTTGAAAACAATAATAACCTCAAATCACATTTCCGAACTTCAAAAAATGCAACTTGAATCGAAAAGCCGCAATGTTCACACCTAGGGGACCCGTAGCGGGTTCATTTCAAAACACGCTGTGACCACGCAGAAGAGCATCAGCATCAGAGGCAACCATATCGGTAAGCCGCGCATTTGTGTTCGTCTTGATTTGGTATGAAGTAATCATTGCTCTATCATTGTGCTTGTCCTCGGGAGCTCTTTAACATACAGTCAACAAATCATCAATAATAACGGCCAAGATAGTCTAAAATTTTTCTTTCGAGCTCCATTATTGCGGTCCTGACTTGAGGCTCGCTAAAACAAAACAGCAATACCAACCGGTCAGTACAAAATGCAGACTGCAGACTTGGTACAAAATGCAGACTGAGAATTTACACTTCGTCTGATACGTGATAACATGTCACCTTACAACTTAACGCGCGTCACGCAATCGCTTTTCCGCGATCATCTTTTACGATTATTTTTACTATTGTGGAATATTCCTTGCCCGTTTCTTGATCACAGGCGTTCTTAATATAATTTCAAGCCTTCCTAGAGTCTTCACTTTGCGCGCGAGTTGATCGGTGTGATGTCTGTACAGAATTTACCAACTTAATGAAAGTGGATGTAGATGAAGATGTAAATAAGATGTCACTATCGAATATTTAACATGCGCAATATTCGAGAAACAATTGACAGCTTTGCACGTGGTCCATACATTTCATCTTTTTAACCGATATATGTTCACTTTGTTGACAAAAATGTGGACCGGTGTCACAGCGGATTTGGACCCCCCGCGGATTTGGACCCCCCGGTCCATATCCGCTAGCGGATTTGGACCCCCCTTCGCGGATTTGGACCCCCCCCCCAACTAAACATTCCTTTTTCGTAACTTGTTCCAACTGCGAGCTTTTAGGCGATGTCCGTTAAAATTTCAACACAAGATTGCGTACTATAATTGACGAAGAAAAGGGCAGATATCGTTTCATTTCTGACACATTTATTTAAGTTGGTAGAATAGCCTACGCATGAATTAAATGACAACAAACTATTGGATTCGAACTATTGAAACTCATACCAAATCCTTTCTTATTCTGTTGCAATACAATTCTGAAGAACAAGTATGAAACTAGTACTACTCTTACTTTACTTCAATGAACCCATCTTTTAGGCTCACCTTTTTTCTGGCCAATGAAATAAAGCGCACCATCTTCAAGAACATATTTTAGCGCTTTCTTGCGCAAGTTTCTCTTTTGGTCTTTCGAAAAATCGATCGGATATTCGTTATCGCGGAGATAGTTAAAGACTTCGTTGTACGTTTTCGTTTCGGCCATCGTTCATGGAATGAATCATAAAAGTAATGATAACACTTGTGGAATTGAGTGCCCTTTTATACATAGCGAAGACAATAAAAGTAAAATAAAACCTTTGCAGTAGGCGGAGAAACTAAACTTTATTGTGCTGCACACAGTAACAATAACATAAATGAATAATTGCTGTAACACGTTCCACGCTTATTAACATTTCTATATATCAAGACAATGTAATTATCGTCTAAAAGCGACCTATTGTCTAGTACATGTTTATCACTTCATACCGATAATTTGTTAACATTCGACTAGACAAAAAACAATATCAATAAATAAGTTTAACTAAATGAGTTAAACCGTTTTTATATTTGCTCTATCAGTTAGTAAGTTGTGAAACATTTTATAACCGCACTGAAAATAACTTTTTTATGGTCGGTGCTTAACAGACCAAGCGCAACACTAACTATAACTTTTACGCGTTAAAGAGTATTATGAGAACGTTTGATTCAAAGTTACACACTTGCGGTACATAAAGACACGCTTTTCAAGGCTTCTGGTGAAAAGCGCTAGATTTCAAAAAGAAAAGAATCTAGACGAGAAAAAGATTAAAAAGAAAAGGAAAGAAAACAATGTAATTAGAATATAGCGGTGTCTTATTGTCTATCATCTACTTTTTGTTAATTCACCCTACCAAACACTCTGTTTTTAACTTGACAAGAGCGCTAAAAAGACTTGAAGTTTAACTTAATTACTTTCATTCAAGAGGTAAGTAGCAAGTAGCACAAACGCAACGCGATGTTTATTTAACGGTGCGCCTAAAATAACATCATAACAGAATAACTTAATAAAGAAGTAAATTGTTCAACCGTATAAAATTAAAGTAGGCGGAGCAACGCATATCAGTTGAGGAAAACGAACAGCGAATTCCCGATTCTTTCGAACCTTCGTGAAAATAAAGCTTAATTCGAGAAATTGCGTTGACTAAAGGCTTTTTGTTGAAGTTGTCGGAAGTTTAGAAGTCGAGATTCGAGCAATCGGTATTTCACAAAACCAAAAAAAAAAAACAATCATAATTGAAGCTTTCACGCATTCAACGGTTGTTATTATTTTATATTTCACACTTTTTCAAGAGAACTGGCAAGCAAACAAATGATTTCAAAATTTACGTTTCATTTTCATTCCAGAGGTAAACAACAGACTTACAGCTGCAGGTTAATTAAACGAAAACCTTAAATTGAGACGCAATGCTGAGAAAAAGATCACGTCTACGAGAATGTTTTAAAATAAAAACCTACTTTCTGAAAAAAAAACTTTCTTTGAAAGCCTACTTTCTAAATTTTTATTATTTCTATTAGGAAGTTATGTATGGTAATGTTTTTACTCAGTTTTGTTAAAGGGGTCCAAATCCGCGGAGGGGAGTCCAAATCCGCTAGCGGATATGGACCCCGGGGGTCCAAATCCGCTAGCGGATATGGACCGGGGGGGTCCATATCCGCTAGCGGATTTGGACCGGGGGGTCCAATTCTAGGGGGGTCCAAATCCGCTGGGACACCGGGACCAAAACTGTTCCCTCGACAAGATATATTTTCAAGGTTCAGTGGTGTTCACACACTGAATTTCATCGGCCCACATGAGGAACCATCGAATTTTTATGGGGAAAAGCGAAGCGTTGCTTTCGTGACTAGCCATTTGTTTACTTTTCTGGTGGTTTTATCTCTCGTCTGTTTGGTGACTACGCAAATATTGATATGTGAAAATCAGACTATATGAAGGCTTGAAATTCTATTACGAACGATTGTGACCGCTTTGTTAAAAACAAAAGATATCAGCGTGACCCCTGTAGTCATTATCGCTCTATCCTGATTGACAACTGAAAGTGAGGCGTGTGATAAAATATTTTAATTTCAGACTGAAAAGAAAAACAGAAACGTTACTTTTTGCTTGTTTAAGTCTACTGAGTGCAAGAACGTTTGATATCTAGATAAGATCTTCCGAGAGCCAAAGGCATTTGAACCGTCATCATGATGAAACTCGGTGGAGCCTTCCTTCTTTGCCTTTTTCTTCCAGCCGGTAAGTGATCACAGCAACTATGTCAGTGCATGAATAGACTCGTATTTCGGTGCGTCCTTTGAGTTTGAGATCATTCACTCCTGCTGCTTGTGCAGAATCATTCAGCGCTTTCGTTAAACTTTATCGTGATTACGATGGACTCTTCCTACTCGGTAGAAAGCTTTCTTACAATCATTTATGCAGTCGTTTACTGATCATAGTCGTCAACTCATATTACATCTGTTCAAGGTTTGCACAGTGTTAAAAATTCACAGGGATAATATATTCATCTGTTCGAAAGAGTCTCAGGAATGTGTGCGATGTTCTTGTGGAAATGAAAGACGATTCTACTAGAATATCAGGCAGGGGTTCATGGCTTTAGAACAGTAAAATTCGATATGAGAGTATCGGAAAGCACAGTTTTGATACTTAACGAAATAGCCGCGTGTGCTAACCTAGGAAGCCTCATGTTAGATATTCAAGCTGTTGTATCGACATGAATAATGTACATTATGCCTTGATATCATACGAAGGTGTCCAATCTCAGGAACGTGTGCGATGTTCTGAAGGAAATGAAAAGCGATTTTATAAGACTACCGGACCGGAGTTTAAGACTTTTAAGAGTTAAATTCGGTATAAGAAAATTGGAAATCGTAGTTACAATATTAAAATAAACAGCCGCGTAGGCTCACCCGTAGAGCCACATGTTGAAGATGCAAGCTGTTGTATCGACATGAATAATATTTATTATGACTTGATATTGTATGATAGTCCCCTTATGAAGGACAGACGCAATGGCGTGAACAGGGCCGGAATTCCAGAAAAATTGCCGCACAGAAAATACAGAACGACGGTTATATGATGAAATACATATTAACTGAGTTAGGTTAAAGACCAGACAGGGAAAGTATCTGGCTCTCGATTATCACGCACAGACCTAGCTGTGCTCAGTCCTCAAGGTGTAACTGCACAAAATGTTTTCCCATTTAGCCCTACCACTCAGTCAATAAGTGTACACTGGTTTGATTTTCGTCTTCATTTTCCTTATTTTGGTTGGTCTCCTTGTCACGCGTTGTTCGGTATTGTCACATAACGCGTTTACGAAACGAATGGCGTGACATAACAAAAATAACGACGAAAAATCGATCTTTTTTTTCCTTTTTCGTTTCCTTTCCTCGCAGTGTCGAGTCTAAACTGCTATGTATGCAGCTCATCCAAATCATGGACAGACTGTACGATGAAAAGCCACCAGTGTCCGTCTGGTTTTGATAGGTGTAGTAAGGTGTATCTCAGGACCGGCAGCCTCGAGTCTTTCAGAAAGTATTGCGCCCCCAAGGCGGCGTGTACTCCGAACACGGACTTTACCTGCAAGACCGCTGTTGGATCAAGTTCTTTCGAGTGCGACGTCACATGTTGCGATGGTGACCACTGTAACACTGGCTCAGCTATGTTAATCAGTATTACCCTCTTGCTGACATGCGGATTGGCGTCTCTGTGGATTGTTGTCAAAGACTGACATTCATTTGTGCTGTGACATGAGGAAATATATGTGCGCCTCCTTTAATTTTAGGAAGAAATGAAAGATGTGATTATAACGTAGCTTCTCTTGACAGTCTCAATACATTTACTTTAAGAAGGAGCCTGCTTTAACAATAAAATGTTTTTGTATGTTTTATATGAATGATATGTTGTAGGTTTTTATCATGTTTCTTTCAAACAACTTCCAACCTGTGCAATGTCACAATTCGATAACAGACACACCGGACACTGTTACGATTGTACAAAGCCTTTTAGGCTCCCGCTACTTGTGGCGACAAACCCCGCAAAGGACATTTTAAGAAAATCAGTTGATCCCCCACCCTTGCGACAACACCGACGACTGTAATGGTGGTACATCACGTCAGCGGAATCTCGTTGCTGACATGCTTCCTGGTATCCGTGATGCCAATGAATTTGAGAGTTCATTCTTAAGAACACGATGTAGGACAACTGTCTACTATGTGAAATTCATTACATGTTATGAGTGCATTCCTTTGCAATTATTCAGATCTGCAGTGTGAGCTGGTTACCCAGGTTGAAGGCAGTACATTAGCACTAACCCAAATTTGGAGCATGAATTCCTTTGATCCTTTTTTGAATAAAATTGAATAAACACGTCAGCAAGGCCCGAATGTTAAATGAATATCCCGAAAGGGATAGTTGTCATTTATCACCCGAAGGGCAGGGAAGGGGGAGGAGGGGAGATCACGTGGTTGTAAGGGGGGTCGGAGGAGGGATCAGTCGTTGCTAATAAAGTTAAAAGGGAGAACTAAAGAAAATTGACTGCCGGTGAGGAGGGAACAACTGAAAGCCACAGTCCCCCTGGGGTTAAAAAATGACCCTAATAACCCTAGGTATTGGCTTAAGGATGCGTGGCGTCAGTTATTCATAACACGAAAACTGATTTCTAACTTATCGTATTTTGCAAGGATCGATATAGGCTGGATTCAAGTTTTCGCAAGTAATGTCTTATTAATACTGCAAATTGCATTTTTTTATTCCGGATGTCCGCTTTAATGACAGTGGGATGGATAAAGTTTACTTGTCGTTGGTTTTCTATTTTGTTCCGAGTGATTTGGTGGATTTTAGGACAGTGACAATCCGCTCCTCACCAAACCTCCCCCATGCTTATCTCATACCAAGATCCTACCGTGTAACTGTTACTGAAATGCGGTGCGTTAGCTCCCAACGCCCCAAATACAACCCGCACTTCGACATTGTTAGGTAATCGACTCCACCCTGTTGTTTGTAACTTATAATTCGAAAATTCAACTATGCAAAAAGAAGCTATGGTTAATTGCTGCCATATATAGTTCTCTCTATTGGGCTTACTTACCATGAGGTAAGTAATTTGCCTAAGTATTCATTTTTTCAGGTGTACCTTAAGCGTTTGCAGTTAGGGCGAAGCCTTGCCTCGTATATCATTTTCGAGAATCATTCGGTGCAATGACAACGAGTTGTGGTAATATGTGGCAAGGGAAAAAGACATCTTAGTCCTTGAGAAGACTTGAACTTCATGACAAAGATTTATCCACCAAACGGGGAATGATGACATGCCAGTTTCAGTACAAGCTTGCGCACTTTCGGCCAGCTCTTTCACTGACTGCAACAAAAACTTTTTAAATTTTGCAAACGATTCTTTTGATTTGTCTTTGTTACAGTTCGCTTGCAAATTTAAGCAAAACATGTTTCCGCAATGCGCAATTTAAGTCCATTTCGTTCAAAAGATCTCCTTACTCTTTCGCCATGTTTGCACTTCATGGTAAACATTTGTCAATTTCTCAGACCGATTCCGAATTTGAACCCAAACGCGTTCTATAATTTCCGCATCGCTTTTGCACGCATTCAATTTTCCATTTGCAATATCTATCCCAAAATTCAAATGGGAACTTTGTAAGATATATATATATATATATATATATATATGTATGCCATTGACCAAGCGTGAGACAAAGAGGGCTGAATGTCGGCCGAATTCTAATGTTTTTATGGACCGAGACGAAATCGTGGTTCATAAAAACGTCAAAAAGAAAGAGATTAAACTCCAGCCATCATGACCGGACAAGATTGATCAATGAAGGATATATTATATAGCAAAATAATATTTTCTTGTAATATAACAAAAAGTTGAAAAAAAGATTTCACATTATTTTTAACCGCCTTTTCAAACCATCGCTTCTCAATGCCGTCCGGTTTTGAGTGGAAAACAATTTTAATAGATTTTACACGTGAATAGACTAGGTTAAAGGTCCCTGCTGTGCGACAGGTATTGCTAAGCGCATGAACAAATGGAACCGCGAAAAATGCGTTCTGCCAAATGTATTATCATAGAAATTCTACGGAGAAACCCCCTCCCCCTTACACCTCTCCTAAGACTTTAGATGTTAATGACATTTGAAGGTCTCAATCTGTCGTTTAATTTTTGCCCTTGCATCATGCATATATATATTGATTAAGTCGCAAAGTGAAGGGAATAAAACTCCTGTATAATCCCGGAAGCTAATTAAAACTCCTAAATCTTTAGGTGCGCAGAAAAAAAAAAGTAGATGAATTTTAATGAGTAATCAACGGGGGTTATCCTAGTTTTATTGGAATTGTAATTGTTATGCATTTCTTGAGAGATTAAGGGACAACGATATTGATCGCTCCTTGACATTATTGTTAAGTTTATGCAAAGTATTTTGTGTTTTGGTCCTCTAAATGACATGCTAGGTAAATATAGACTCTTAATTAAAAAAGATAACCAAGAATCAAGCAAGCGTTTCAAAATCCTGACTTGACTGGAACTAAATTAATTTCTTAATTCTGTTACTGAAGAATAAATTCATATCCCTTTTACCGACTGTCGGTAATTAACTTCACACTATAAAAATTATCATTAAATACGGAATAATCTATACTACAAAGCTTTTCTCAAGCTATTAATCTCAGACGCAGCCAATACTCGTTTTATTGTACCTATTGTTAGGGTCCATTACTTGAGTGAAGTAACTCAAGAGCTTTTTTTTTGGCGCCGCTTAATTGGGTTTTCCGGCCAGCTTACTCGAAAAAATTCCTGAAACACAATAGAAAATGATAAAAGTGTATGCATGGTGTAATCTTCAATGGGTATTAATATTGTTTTCTTCCTTCTCTTTTTATGTATTGAATATGTGTAAATGTTATGTAGGGTTTTGGCTGGTAATCAGTTTGTCTGTCACATCATAAGGTTCTTTTACTGAAAGGACAACTCTGTAAACAAGCTGCTCAGGCTTTCGATGAGTTTTTTTCATCTTTTTTTTCGTTTTCCTTATCTTAGTCAGTCAGTAAGCACGACATATTTTGATTTGGCGGGGCTTTCGCCTTCCTGTAAAAACCGATGTTATAAAACAGATTCGGAGTAACGGCTCATCAAAGTCTTTTGAATTGAATATTATGACAAAAAATATCTCTTGTCTGCATCAGGTTTATTCCTTTTCTATAACACAACTTACTGCCTTAGGAACTAGCTCAGATCTGAGTGAAAATGCTGGTCACCAGCTTATAAAGGCGACACTTACTAAGCTGTTAACCTTCATGCATCGTCGTCACTTCTCACTTAGCAAGCGAATCACGTTAAGTTACGAGAAATAGTTCCTGAATGTATTAAAGTTCACACGGCAACCAGGTGGACAATCAGACATGGTTTGATGCTACTCTGGTTTGCAGATTTAATGAATGTAACCGAAGAAGTTACACTCCTGTCTAGTGCCTTCATCAGGGGTGATCTAAACGCTGCAACAAAAGGTCCTTTATATGATCACTAATTAGCGGTCTTTTTTCTGACGAGGTGTAAATAGGCGTCAGGAAGCAAACCGCCATCGTCTCAATTTAAAGGAGCGTGGGCGGAGTTAATATGCCAAGCCTACAACAAAGGCGCTGGTGGTAACGCCGATTAGTGGTGATAATTTTAGAATTATCCCACCCAATTGTATGGTTGGTTAGGCATGTGTGCTCCGATAAAGCAGAATTTTCCTTTTTGCAAAAGAAAACCGCTTTTTGATGCTCTTTTAAACGTGTACCAAACTGACTTTTGGTCTGTCCGATGTATTCGTGGTCACAGTCATTGCATGGAATAGAATAAATGGCGTCGGTTCGTTGTTCTTTCGTGACAGGATCCTTAGGTTTGGCGAAAATATGCCCAAAGTCTGAAAAGGTTTTTAAGCAACTTTAACGTTGTGGCTATTCAAAATTCTCTTGATGGGTTCGGTAACACCTTGAATGTCTTAACGCTTGTGAAGAATTAGTATCTTTCGACGTTGTTTCGCTCTTCACTAAAATCCCAGTTGATCTTGCCGTTAAGGTTGCGGAGGAGAGACTCAGAGAAGATGCCTCCCTAGGACTAAGAACTTCTTTGCCTGTGGAGGATATTATTCATCTGCTGTCTTTTTGCCTCAAAACCACGCAATTTACATATAACGGCACCTACTATCAACAAGTTTTTGGTACAGCGATGGGTTCGCCTGTCTCTGCTATCATTGCTAACATGATAATGGAAGACGTGGAACAAAGGGCCTTAGCCACTTTACCGGTTAAACCCTTTTTCTGGAAACGATATGTCGATGATGTTATTTCTGCGGTATCCGGAAATGAAGCGGAACACCTCCTGTCGCATTTGAATTCAGTAGAGCCTTCGATCCAATTCACCCTTGAGCGTGAAAAGGGTAGACATTTGCCCTTTCTTGATTTATATGTGTCCAGAGGGGTTCAAGGTAATTTAGAGACAAGTGTCTACCGTAAACCTACCCACATCGACAATTGTTGGAAGAATTTCTCTCTAACACTCGGTTGAATCTCCTTTATTTTCTGGTTAAACTCCTGGTACAATTGTTACTTTCGGGGACTAGCCCAGTATTGATCTTATTCACCACAGTTCAACTTATTCCTTTCGACATAAGTCCACACTGTTCTACTTTGCTATATTTTCTGATTGAAAGATGCTGTGCACCAGCTTATAAAGATGACACCAAAGATGACACTTCTAAGCTGTCAATCTTCTTACATCTCGATCGCTCCGTTTCAGCCAGTGAATCACGTTAGAGTACGTACGACAGTTCCTGCATACTAAGTATGCACCTTCGAATTGTTTACGCAATCACAAAATCATCTTCTACCTTAAATTTCTTAATTTTACGGTTAAGATCGACCAGAACGAAGACAAGATTGATAATATAAAAATTATAATTAACCTATTGGCAGAATTGAAATTACGCTTGAAAAGATAGTTTACGAGAAAATAGCCTTAGAAGATTGTTATATAACAACAGAGTAAACAGAAAATTCGGAGAAGAAGGGGCGTACCCAAGGTACCGCCCCTTAGAAAACTACGTGCTATTCGCATAAGTTATATAATTACAAATTCAGTGCGGAGATGAAAAAGCATAAGCTATTTACAATCAGAGTCACCTTTAAGAAGAGGTGTTGAAGGTGTTGATTTAAAATTTAAGAAATATTCTGGAATCGTGAATTTGACTTTAGAATTTGACCAAAAAAAAACCAGTCTGATAGTAATCAATAATAAAAGAAGCAGGAGTTTCCAGGAATTCCTGTGCGAGGTTAACTTTTACCAGAAAGATTTACAACTAGAAAATTGACATAATTAAAAACATAGCTTATCACAAAATAGTACAACAAGATCTAATCACCGTAGAAACGGAGCAACTGTTTCCGTACCAAATTCACAACCACAATAAGAAAATTAAAAGGTGAAAGAAATTGTACTTAGATGAGATCGCCAAAAGGAATAAGAAATAATCAACCTGTCTTATTATAATTTGTATCGAATGGCTTAAAGTAATATAATATTTCCATTTTTCCCAACACCAATATTATTATTATAATATTTCAGATTAAATATAGTTCTATTTTTATCGTTAAAATGCCTCGCTTTCGATTCTCACCACCCTATTTGCCGTAAAAAGTCTGTAGCCAAAACTTTACTTAGGAGGGCTGACTGTCTACCATCTTCACTCGATTCGAAGGCTGAGGAGAGGAAATATGTTTCTAATATCCTAAAGGCAAATGGCTATACAAAAACCTTTCTCCGTAACTGCCAAAAACCAGTTACAACTAGTAACGCTCTTGATGAAAGGCAACCAGCGACTGGTTTTGCTGTTATCCCTTACATTCAAGGTGTTACCGAACCCATCAAGAGAATTTTGAATAGCCACACAACGTTAAAGTGGCTCAAAAACCTTTTCAGACTTTGGGGCATATTTTCGCTAAGGAAAGAAAGAAAGACGAACGAAAGAACAACGAACCGTCGCCATTTATTCTATTCCATGCAATGACTGTGACCACGAATACATCGGACAGACCAAACGTCAGTTTGGTACACGTTTAAAAGAGCATCAAAAAGCGGTTTTCTTTTGTAAAAAGGAAAATTTTGCTTTATCGGAGCACACATGCCTAACCAATCATACAATTGGGTGGGATAATTCGAAAATTATCACCGCTAATCGGCGTTACCACCAGCGCCTTTGGAGGCTTGGCATATTAACTCCGCCCACGCTCCTTTAAATCATGACGATGGCGGTTTGCTTATCATATAAAAGGACCTCTTGTCGCAGCGTTTAGATCACCCCTGATGAAGGCACTAGACACGAGTGTCGAAACGTTGGGTCTATGAATTGTAACTTCTTCGGTTACATCCATTAAATCTGCAAACCAGAATAGCATCAAACCATGTCTGAGTTCCTTAATGCTTAGTATGTACCTTCTAGATGTTTACGTTTACGTTTACAAAATCATTTCCTACCTAAATTTCTTACTCTTACGGTCAATAAAAATTATAACGAACTTATTGACAGAATTCGAATCGTACTTAAAAAGATATCTTAGGAGAAATTATTACATAGCTAGTAAATTTGTCTAATCAAATTCAATTGTGCCAGCGTGCTTCATATTCCTATTGTGCATGGACATGACGTCAGCAAACAAATCCCTCCAGAAAAAAACTTTTTCCATCGGGTTGAAAATGTTATGAAACAATTGCTTCATACGTCAGCTGTGCGTTCGTCGAGATATGAAGCAATTGAGAAGTTTGGAGAGTACTCAAGAAGCTAGAGTTGCGCTCAGCTACGCCTCGAGCAACTCTTACCCATCTCTCGTGCTCTCCAAACTTCCCGCGTGCTTCATATCTCGATGAACGCACGCTGACGTATGGACCAATTGTTAAATAGCCTTCGAAGACTGTTACATAACAACAGAATAAACAGAAAATTCGGAGAAGGAAGGGCCTACCCAAGGTACCGCTTCTAAAAGAGCTAAGTGCTATTCGTCTGAGTTACCTAATTATAAATTCAGTGCGGAGGATGAACAGTACTTGTTGTTGTCACCTTTAAAGGAAGAGGTGTTGAATGTGCTAAATTAAAATTTGAGAAATATTTCCTTGATCAGAAATTCGGCATTGAGTTAACCTAAGAACGAGAATATCAAAGGGATTTAAAACATGAGAAGGGTTATTTCCACGAAATTTCTATACAATTCAATTTTTATGAGCTAAAGTCATTTTCTTCGTAATTGTAACGGCTTTCCGCAACATAATGGAAATATTCCAATACTTAACCAAAAACTGTAGTTTACGTAGAAAGATCTGCTCCATGTCAAATTCACGACCACAATAAGGAAAGGTGACCGAAATTCTTCTTGTAAGATGAGACCGCCAAAAGGAATAGGAAATGATCAACTTGTGTAAATATATTTTTTTTGACTGAATGGCTTGTGGTAATATATTATTTCCATTCATTTTCCAACACCAATATAAGGAAACCCTAACAATGTTTTTTAGATTAGATATGTATCTGTTTTGCGTCAAACGCAGTAATGCCATCCAGCTGATAATAAATTCAACTTTTTTTGTCACCTTTGGTAAAGACCAAGCCGTATTTCAACGTACTTTCATTTTTTTCTCTCTCTTAGTGTTGGGTTTGAATTGCACGATTTACAGTTGTGCAAAGTCGTGGGGCGATTGCAAAGCAGAAAGCCAGTCCTGTTTTGCTGTGGCTGCTGACAAATAAATGTTATAGGATGTACACTAAAAGCAGTGGAGTTGAAAAGTACAGCAAAGGTTGTGCTAATGAGGCTTTTTGCAGCAAGGACAACAACCGTGTTTGTAAAGCCGCCACTGAATCATCTGAGTGTGACAGAGAATTCGAAAAAAAAAAGTACCGCACATAGCAGAAAACACAACCAGGTGGTTCTTTATCGGCTGAAAACTCAGTCCCGTCAGTGATGCGTTGTCATTTTCCTTTTAAACATTTGTCTAATTAATGGTAGTGTTTTCCGCTATGTGAATACTTAGTTTGAGTGAATCTTAATTTATTCCGAACCTAAACTGGATGTTCTGTGTTTTCGACGAAACGAATCGAATCAGCCTTTCTTCCTAAGAGTAATTCACACCAGAAAAAAATTCAATGGCTTATAGACCAGGATTAAAGAGTGATTATCAGAACTTAGTATATCGGCTCGGAGAGTTAAATATCCTCAAGGGTATATTAAAAAAAATGCAAATCTGGAAACGCCATCGTCACAAAGAGTAATAAATTAAGTCAAGGTGACGAAAATGTGTTATTGTTGTCAAGTTACTGATTACCTGGAAAGTGGCGTGCTTTTACGTCACGATGTGAAAGGTGTGTTCAGCAGTTACTTAACAAGCGCGCTCGCTTCCACCGCCCCAAGTACAGTCTGCTCTTCGATATTGTTGCGTTAACACCTCCACCCTGCTGTTTGTGACTCGCAAGCAAAAGTCAAGCTCTTCAAGATGAAGCTGTGGTTGGTTGCCGCCATAATTATTTCTATTGGGCTTCCATCCGGTAAGTAATTTACCTCGGTATACTTTTTACAGGCGCACCTTTTGTGCCTGCAACGACGTTATTCGCAAATTAAATCCGCTCCGTTCGAAGCAAACTTGAAATTGCAGACACATTTCGCTTCTTCAGGTAAATGTTTGACAATTTTCAACCGTTAAAATTTTCCTCGTATTTCTGTTTCCCCCTTTTTGTACATCTCACTTGTCAATTTTAGCTGATAAAATAATTTCGCTCTGCGCAAACTGTATCTGTTTACTGCAAAGCAAACTTAAAAACCGTGCAATCCTTTCGCTATTCAAGGTAAAAACTCGTCCACTTTTGGACCAATTCATTTTTTGCCCTAAATCTCCTACATCGCATTTGCGTGTAACCACTTCAACTCATGCAATTTTTAGCTTAAATATAGTTAAGCAAATTTCGGTTTAGGCGATGTGTGTTTTTATTATATTTTTTATTTTTTTCAGAGTAATTTTGTCAGTTTGGCATTTCCACCTTTGTCGAATTATCACGAGTTTTAAAATCAGATCAGTTCGTTCGTTTCAGAGAATTTTGAGCAAAGAGTTGAAGCCAACACGCAATTTCATTTCAAGAACAAGGCCGACAGCTTGGCAAAAGGTGTTAAACATGCACAATAAAAGTTTTTCTTTAGCAAGAAGGCCGAGACGGATTTACAAAGATTTGCATTACCTTTTGAAAGGCCGTCAAAATGAATATCTTCTCTGTGAATAGCTTAAAAATATCAAGCTTTGACCTCATCTCTGCACGGAAGCTCCGGTCAAGAACTTGAACAAGGTTGCTCTCACTTGAATTAAGACTTTGTAATCCATGGCATTAATTAGACAGAAGACAAACAATTGCCGGCGTTGAGGTTTAATATATGCCTAAAATTTGAAATATTGTTAGCAGTTATCTTTTCTTCATTTTTTCCCTATATTTTAACTTTTAAAGAGATTTACACCAAATAAAACATGAACTCTGATCTTTTTCGTAGGAAAGCGAGCGCTAATTGTCCGATTTTCGCTCTGATGCAGTTTCCGTGCAACTCCGCCGGAAAGCATCAAAAACAATTATTCGAAAAGGACAGAGAAATTGGTTCCATTCATGCTTTTTCAGTATTGACCAATCATTAATCGCATCCAACAAAACATTGCACTGGTTCTCTCAAGGAAATCCAGCGGGCTAACTCACTTCGGTCCGAATGCCATGGGAAAATATGGAAATAAAATTGAAACCATTTGATCGAACAAACGGAGTTACTACAAATCAGAAATATGAGCCCGTGAAGCCACTATTCGATATTTGTAGGTTAAATTAATCATACTCTGGATTTTGTTACGCCGAGACTAAATTATCCATTCCTATGCTAGATCGATTGCAATTTACTAATCCATAATTATTACGGGTTACATAAGTTTCCCAATGAGGCAGTGCAAGAGAAGATTAATAAAGCTCAATTTATCCTCACTTGCTGCAACTTAAAGCAAAATGTTTTAATAATTTAGTTTTCATTGGTGAGTTTCTCAATTTTTCTAGTATTGGGCCTGAAGTGCATGACCTGCACCAGTTCCGAGTCATGGGATAAATGCGAAGGAAAAAGCAAGACCTGCACAGCTCCGCTGGCCGATCAATGTCTTAAACTCTACTTCAAAGTTGGCTCAACCGAGTCGTTCACTAGAATGTGCGGATCCGATGCTTACTGTGATGAGAAAACCAACCCTACCTGTAAAGCCGCCAGTGGATCCTTTGAGTGTAAAATCGACTGCTGCAAAGGTGACGACTGCAATGCTGGCACAGCAACCCGCATCAGCGGTATTCTGTTTTTGTCATGCGCCCTGACCTCTCTGATGATCTTTTTCAAAGCCTGATGTGAGGTCATGTACGGCTAATGAGTCGTGTTGCAACTTATTTATACCTTTTTCTAAGATGTTAATCACAGTGCATTTTGGGGAGAACACTTAGCTTTAGGACAATAATGATTCTATAGCAGTTTATATTCTCTTGTCATACCGAAAGCTGTTTTTCGTAATTTCATGCAGTTAAGCTGATTTATTTCTGCAGGCAACAATGAACATGGTAGTTGTGAGGCAATGATATTATCCATTAATTTTAGTTTTTTTTCTAGGATGCTTATTATTCACATATAGAATAGAACTGTTTGTGTTTCTTTTTTAAATTTGATGCAGCACCAAAAATATAATCGTGTATTTCTGTCTACTTTTGTCCCTTTGTCGTTGTTGCGCATGAAAATGTCACAGCCGGTCTGGGCCTCTCTAATAAGAACCCCCTCTTTAATAAACACCCCCTCTCTCTATTAAGCACCCCTCTCTCTATTAAGCACCCCCTCTGTCTATTAAGCACCCCCTCTCTCTATTAAGCACCCCCTCTCTCTATTAAGCACTCCCTCTCTCTAATAAGCACCCCCTCTCTCTATTAAGCACCCCCTTTCTTATAAGCAACCCCTCTCGAATAGGTGCCCCCTTCTCTAATAAGCCCCCTCTCTAATAAGCGCCTCCTCTCTTATAAGCGCCCCCTCTCTCATAAGCAGCCCCTCTCTTTTAAGTTCTGCCCCTATTTAAGAAGCACCCTTCTCTCTAATTAGCACCTCCTCTCTAATAAGCACCCCCTCTCTCTAATAAGCACCCCCTCTCTCTAATAGGCATCCCCTCTCTCTAATGAGCACCTCCTCTCTAATAAGCACCCCCTCTCTTATAAGTTCCCTCCCTATTTAATAAGCACCCCTACGAGATGGATTTGAGATTAATTTGGCAATTGGAAGAGGCTGCTTCCATGTCTTCCACTCAAAGAAAATTTTTGCACCACAGAAGAGGCCACGTTTCTCATAAGCATCATTTGATATGCCTCCCTAAAATAATTGTGACTTAGCCATAGGTAAAAACAACGTAAACTTGACAATCACTAAGTGGAGCTCCTTAGTTCCTCTAAACTCTATAGGTATCTAATCTCAACAAACGCTCTCTAAACCAAATTTGAAAGTTAGAGCTCTCAACTCTTTCAGAGGCAAGGTCCCCTCCGTGTGTGTTTATTACTAAATAAGAACGTCCCTCTCTCTAATAGTTCCCCATTCTCCCATTCTCCCGTTGTCCCGTAAGTCCCCCCTATTTAATAAGCCCCCACTCCCCCGTACTGCGAGCTGGATTTGAGATGAAGTTGGCAATTGGAAGAGGCTGCTTCCATGTCTTCCACTCAAAGAAAATTTTTGCACCACAGAAGAGGCCACGTTTCTCATAAGTATCATTTGATATGCCTCCCTAAAATAATTGTGACTTAGCCATAGGTAAAAACAACGTAAACTTGACAATCATAAGTGGAGCTCCTTAGTTCCTTTAAACTTATAGTTGTATCTAATCTCAACAAACGCGGAATGATTCCTCTTAAACCAAATTTGAAAGTTAGAGCTCTCAACTTTTTCAGAGGCAAGGTTTCCCCCAATCCGTGTGTGTTTATTACAGAATAAATGCTTCTACTGAACGTTGATCCAATAACGAAATGAAACTTGCTGCGACAAAAAACTCGGCTACAAAATGATCAAGATGGAAATGAGTAGCACACAAGGCGCAATGTTCATGTATTAGTACTTTACACTCCTCCTTACCGGGATTACCCGTTCCCCCACTCCCCCGTACTCCCGTTCCCCTGTTCATCCGTTCCCCTGTTCACCCATTCCCCCGTACACCCATTCCCCCGTACACCCGTTCTCCCGTTTCCTCCGTACTCCCGTTCTCCTATTAGAAACACTCAAGTCACGCTTAAATTTGAGTGTCATGTCACGCATTGCACTTCGTAAATTGACTATTAGAACAGCACAACTTCAGCGCTGGATCATTTTTCAAATAACAGGTTTGCGTTTTATGGCTTAATGACGCAATTTTTCTTTCACATAGCCAATGTATTGATTCATTAAATCCACACAATTGCAAATTACAGTATTACCCTTTTCGAAAATTCACAAATTAGGAATTCCCTTTTCGCAAATTACCGATTTGAGTTAATCTCGCAAATTACATTTTTTTCATTCCGTTTCGTTTCACAAATTATATTAAGCCCTCTCAGAGACAATGACGAGAAGATTTATATATTTCGCAATGACTCGAGAGAACACGAAATCTCTTTCTTATTTCTGAAACAGTCAAAGTTGTTAAGAGTCAGCTAACTGCAGGCCGGATCAAAATATTAAGCAAAAGAAAACACCGAACTATACAAATTATAAAAGTTAAAGTGTATAGAATGTGGTAAAATGGCACTTAAAGCTGGAAAACTGTGTATCTGAAAAGAGAGAAGATTGCTTTGTACAAAATAATCTATATGATCCATTAAAACTCCATTAATTAGTAGCATTTACTAATAAAACCGCCTCCCACCCCTCCCTGCGTACTAATAGTTCGTCTTCCACCCCTCCCCCAGTAACAACAGTTGGCCTCTCACCCCTCCCTGAGTACTAATAGACTGCATCCCAACCCCTCCCTAAGTACTAATGGACAACCTCCCCCTGATAAAATAGTACCCAAAAAATTGGTACAAAAACTGATCCAGTAAAAATGTTCCAAAAAATGGTCCAAAAAGAGTCCGACTGTTAATTGTTGCCCAGTGATTGGCAGCAAGATAACGTGATTTTATTGTGGTGATCGGAACAACTGTTCCATTGTCGCTTGATGATTGACAGCAATATTGCGTGTTTTATCATTGTTGTCTAGTGATTGACAGCAAAATAGTGTGATTTTAACATAGAGAGAGACAACTGTTCAAAGTTGCCTAGTTACTGATACTGAATGACAGCAATATGGCATGATTTTGCGTCATAAACAATCGACTTTCAGGTACTTCTAAAACAACAGCAACACACTGGCCTCAGTTCAAACAAGTGCACCTGCTTCCACAGCTCTTCGTACTGCTGTTTCTTCGAGTCTGCTGGGGATACGCCTCCATTCTGCAGTTTGTGACCCCCAAGGAAATTTAGAGCCCTTCAAAATGAAGCTGTGGTTAATTGCTGCCATTACTCTCTCTTTTGGAGTTCAAGTCGGTACGTGATTTCAGTTTATCACATTATGTTTTTATGTGCGTACCCTTTCTGTCTGCATTTCTCTATTTTTGCGCCTACTTGCCATTCACAATCCGTAATTTTCGTAATGCCTTGGGCAAATTGCGTTATATCTTTTGAAACATTTCACTTAAAGTTTAGGGAAAAACTCGGAGAGATTTGAAAAATGAAGCGAACTTCGGTCGGATTAAATTGCTTTTGCGAGGGAAGATTTTACATTTGTTTTTTTTTCAGTTTTATCATGTTTCTTTTTATCGCGTCAGCCATGAGTATGATAATTCAGTAATATCAGTCGGCGCCTTCCGGAGATGCCGCCGGCGGACATGGTTGAAACCTACATTTTATTTTCATTTTGATTTCGTGGGTCGCTCAAAACAGTAAGTAATAGTAATTAAACAAACACGCATTATTTTTCAAGATTAAACATACTATTGTATCGCTTAAAAATCTCTAGGTGCAACCACCGCTTCTAGAAATAATCCTTTGCTGCTTGTGTCACTTGACCAAGGTTGAAGCGCATCGGGGCCTATCCGCATTAGCTTTTAAAATGTTATTTATGAAACAAGCTCTCTGTCATCACTTTCACTTAACAAGAGCGGATGGTTTGGTTCTCGCTTCGTAAGCAGACAGCTTTCAGCACCGGTACACTGTGGTCACCTGATCGCGCCTTCGAGTGACACTTCTGGCTGCTTCTTTGGATAAACGTTTGTCGCGTCTTGAAAAATCTTCACCGAAGCTGAATAATTCTAAAACGCGCTGCCTACAAGCGTCATTCCAAGAATACAAACTGAAAAAAATCAACTGAAAAAATAATGCTAATCTTTTCAATCATTTCTCGCAAAAGCTATAACTAGCCTGATAATTGAAATGAGTTGAATTTGCCTTATGGAGCATAGCTTTTCAGCAAATTATCCTCAGTCGTGCAGTAAGTCAAGGGAAACTCTCAGGGTCTAAAATAACTGAGGAGAATGTGTTGCCTATACTATGACATTCGTAAATGATTATAGACATTCTAGTATTCTTGGATAAGGACAATAAACAGTAGGTCCCGTCTCCTTCATCTTCTCTGTACTAGTTAGCGGGGGACGTTAAAGAATCCACGCACTTTTCGCAAAAAGAAGGGAAAGTACCTACCAGTGTCGTGGTCTAAGCACACCATAGGCAGCATTTTGTCAAGGATCTGATTGAGACTTTTTTAAAAGTCAAGAGACACACCTCAAGAAGAAGCATGTGGAGGTGTTACAGTAGTATACAGAGAAAAAAATATCGGGATAAATTTATGCCTTTAATCCCAGTGTTTGCCCGCCCGTGCGGACAAGGCATTGGTTTTCAAACTTAAAGCTTTCGTATAACAACACACTCGGCTGAGTCTCGTGCGCCACTGTTTCATTCTTATCACATTTTGACGACGTTTGTGATATTTTACAGAACAGATGTACAGCAACATAAAATGAATGTTAAATGAATGGTTAAGTTTTATTAATGCATTTCTCACTGTTTTTTTGTTTTCTTTATTCAGTGTTGAGCTTGAAGTGTTTGTCCTGCACCAGTAAGAAGTCATGGGATGACTGTAAAGGAAAAAGCATATCCTGCAAGGCTCCGGCTACCGATGCATGTATTAAGATTTACTTGAAATCTGGTTCAAGGGAATTATTTGCAAGAGGTTGCAGTACCAATGCTGGCTGTCACACGGAAACCAACCCTTTTTGTAAAGAAGCCAACGAGTGTGACATCTATTGCTGCAACGGTGACGACTGCAATGCTGGCAATGCTGGCACAGCAACCCACACCAGCGGTGTTCTGTTGCTGTCATGCGCCCTGGCCTCTCTTGTGATCTTTTTCAAAGCTTAATTTGAGGTCACGTACGGCTAATGAGCAGTGCTGTAACTAAGTATAACACTTTTGTAATGTAATGAATGTCACACTAAGCCTAGAGACAATGATGTTTATGTAGACAATTGCTTTGAATAGCTAGGATATGTAGTTGAGTAGATTTACTTGTTGGTCTGCTAAAGAGCATAAAGCAATTTTTTTTTTCGTTTAGTGTGTAACAGTTGTAGAAGTATAGGAGCGTTAGTAATTCCTTTAAATCATGCAGCGCTGAAAATATAATTATGCCTTTTTTCACCTTTGCTGTATGGTTCTCTGCGTTTGTTTATACTGAATACGGCTAACGGTTAACGGTTTACGGCTAACAAAAGCTCTGTTGACATGGGCTACTTATTAGCCTCAAAAGAGCAAAAAATAAAACTCTTGAGACCACCCTGAAGGCTCCTTTGCCCGCATTTGATCAGTGGAGGAAGCTGTAATACATTTACAAGTCGGGGAACTGATTGTCCCTTTTCTAGTCGGATTTCTACCCTGGAGTCAGCTGAGACTACATAATAGAGGTCGAATTGACCTCAAGTCTTGGTATAGGTAATGAAATGATATCGATCGCAATTTTTATAGGTAATAACATGATTTCGAGTTGTAAATGTTTCTTTTCAAGCTAGAGTTGAAAACTCGATTCCCGAGTTGATACACTCGCATGCGATGAACACCAAGCCAATACTAGGATCTTTTTTTTCTTCATTCCTTTCCTATTCCTTAGGGCGTTCTTGTATCGAAGCGGTCAACTGTAATCAATACTTGAAGGAATTACCTAAGTATTGTGCGATCATAGCTTAATCTCGCAAATTACATTTTTTCATTCCGTTTCGTTTCGCAAATTATAGTAAGCCCTCTCAGAGACAATGAGCAAAAGATTTCTATATTTGGCAATGAGTCGAGAGAACATGAAATCTCTTTCTAATTTCTGAAACAGTCAAAGTTGATAAGTGTCAGCTAACTGCAGGCCAGATCAAAATATTATGCAAAAAAAGAGAAAAAAGCCGAACTATACAAATAAAGTTAAAGTGCGTAGGCTGTGGGCAAATGGCACTTTAAGCTGGAAAACTGTGTATCTGAAAAGAGAGAAGATTGCTTTGTACAAAATAATTTTTATGATCTATTAAAACTCCATTAATTAATAGCATTTACTAATAAAACCACCTCCCAACCTCCTTGCGTACTAGCAGTTCGTCTTTCACCCCTCCCCCAGTAACAACAGTTGGCCTCTTACTAGGCTTGAGTCGATTGTGCGCGTAAAACTGGCATATTATGCTCCTCACACTGCTCAAAATTTCTGAAATTTATGCTCGAGTTATGCTCGTTTCTCTAAATTAAACACAAACAAACAGCAACTGATTACTTATCTGATGACTGCAGCCCATCATTTTAATAAACCAATTATCAAAGAATGTGTCGTTACAAGTTTTCCCTGCATTTGTTCCTCAGAATTGATAAACATACTCATCATTTTTCAATCAATGGAGCTTCTTAGGTCAAAGTAAGGAGTAATACAAATTCTACCGGAGCATGGTCTTGCGAGTCGTTGAAAGAGGAGTTAATTTTTAAGAATACTCTTTCTGCAGCAGCAGATGAGGGTTGTATACTAGGAGAACCTTCCTGACTGCAGACGGCCAATGTGGCAATCGATCTGAGTGCTGTCGTCACCACTTCACTTTGTCTTCTTCGCAGGCCATTATGACGTTATGGGCTGGACCAACATAGTTAGGCAGTTCCGTGATTAAGGCATTTATTACATGGTTACTGTCCAAAAACGGAAATAATCGAGGCCGTGTACAGTTGCTGGCGTAGGTTGCAGCCATTGCGTAGCTTCCAGGCACATTATTCTAGCAGCCTTGAATGCGCTCAACTTGTTATACAAATCTGCATTGAATTTTCGCAAAAACCACTGAATTCCAGGCTCGACACTCCTTTTGGCTTCCTGTTCCAGTGCTGCAACATTTTTTGTAGGATCTCTAGCCGCTATAGCGACAGCTACTGCGTGGACATTTCGGAAATGTGGCACCTGACATTCGCGGCCGTTTGTAATCTCTCGAAGCACGAGAAGACTAGTGAGCCATCTCCCTCTAAAACGTAAGTGGCTTTGACGAGCGGTTCACCCACACCAACGATGGCTGCTAGCTCAAGCTTAAGGCTCAGAACTTTATCTGGATCAGACAGGAAGTCGACCAGTTGACGTGAAATTTGGGGAGCAACGTTTTCTCTTCCAGCATTAGCCACGAATTCTTGTAAGTCACCAAACTGCTCCATGAGTTGTTTGTAGACTTCCCACTTCGACCACCTTGAGTCTCGGAGTAACTCTTCGATTTAAGTCCGGTGTTGTTCCTGCCACATAAGCCTCGCTCTGTGGCTATGCCCAAATAGGCGGATCCACAGCTTGCCAAATTCAGTTCGGAATAACAAAGTGATTACCGATATTGTCCAGATTGTAAGAAAAACAAACCACATTGAATGTTTTAGGGAATATGAAATGGATGCGATTTAAGGCTGCTTGGTTTACGCTGGCGCCGTCTCTCATGGCCGCTATCAATGAATCTGCTCTCACACCATAGTCGACAGATAAACATTCGTTGAGAACTTGGGCAAACTCGTCACCCTTTACTGATTTGACACAAACATCAATTCTGATCAGTCGTTGCACAATACACCAATTATCGTTGACAAAACGGACCACGATCACGATCGCCTCCCTGTCTCGTGCTTCTATCAAAGGAAATGGAAAGATCCCTTGTAAATTCCCCGCCACTGCCATCAAATGGTTCTCGGCGAATTTCCGCTTTAATCCTCTGTATCTCTTGCTTGTATATCATTGGAATGTACTCCTTCGTGTTAGAATTATGACTAAGACGATAGCCTTACTTTTTAAGGAGGGGTCGGAGTTTGTCTATCTTTCGTAAAGGGATTCCAGCTTTAGGAAACTCCTCTACCACCTGTAAACGGTATGCTCTCTCCTCAACTGGCAACGTCCTTGCTCTGTGTATTCATGACCAGAAATCGTATACAGTCAGCGGCTTGAACGGCAGGCGCGTAAATTTCGGACGGACGGACGAAGGAAAAATCGTTCGAAGGGGTATTACAGCAGCTTAAATGCTCTTGGTTCTGCAGATTTCATGAAGAGTAGATCGAAAATAGGGGGCTCTTTGTACGACATTGCTTGAAGAACTAAAAGTGTTCGACAAGGATCCGTTCCACGAGGAGGACGCCATCTTTTATCTTGGATCTCAGTCAACTCGCCAGCGAGTCGTACGAGTAGGGCCTGAAACCAAGAAACGTTACAACGACCGCAGTGAATCCATTGTAGGCGCAATCCATTATTAGCAGGAAACATTCCAGAAACACGATTCAGTCAAGAGAAGTATATTCAATACAAAATTACGAAAATTGTTCACATCGTGGAAGTAAAAAAGCATATTATGTCAGCAGTGCTTTTCTTTAAAAAAAAGTTTTAAATTATGCTCATTTTGCCAAATTATGCTCAAAATTATGCCGGTACAATCGACTCAAGCCTACCTCGTACCCATCCCTGAGTACTGATAGACTGCATCCCACCCCTCCCTAAGTACTTATGGTCTACCTCCCCCCGATAAAATGGTCCCAAAAAGATGGCCAAGAAATTTGTCCAAGAACTGATCAAAAAAGGGTCCAAAAACTGGTCCAAAAAATGGTCCAAAAACAGTCCAATAGTCCAAGGGTCTAATAGTCCGGTCCAAATTTACACTATGTCCAAATCAGGTACCTTGGGCGAGACTTAAATGAATTTCCGCCCAACGGGAGGGAGCTTGTGGTCATTCATCTGATGTGGCTGTCAACTGAAATCAGAACACTCGTGCCTCTTGTCTCCACGAAACAAGATGGTTACCTTTCTCAACCGGCCGGCGTTTCATCTGACAGGTTTTCCTCCTTCAAACGATCCAAGTATGGTGAATTTCCTACCTTTCTACCTTGTGAATGCAAAGGACTTAGCCCTATAAAAAACAATGTTTATATCTCCCGGCATGTCACTTAAATAGAGTTATTCGCGTGTTTCACATTACTGTAACGAGCTATAATTGTACTCGTTAAATAACCAATCATTTGAAGTCGCTTAACGACTTCTGTCACCAAAATACCCTCAAAAATGTTAAGCGGGGCAACCAACGTCGTGAAAACACAAAAGGTAAATGTGCTGAGGAGCAATTGTTCATTATTGCTAAGTGATTGACAGCATTATAGCGTGAGTCTACCCTGGCAAGGAAAGACTGTTAACCCTTTAACTCCCATGAGTGACCAAGACAGAATTTCTCCTTACAATATCAACACAGAATCAAGCAGATAAGTGAGGAGAATGAAGAAGAAAACTCAATTAAGGGACTACAAGTTGATTTAATACCAAATTCTTCAAGTTGAAATCGTGAGTATTTTATGGCAGACAGTAAGGAGAATTACTAATGAGGTCTTGGGAGTTAAAGGGTTAATTGTTACCCAGTGATTGAAAGCAGGATAGCGTGATTTTATGTGATGAGGAACAACTGATCCATTGCTGCGTGGTGATTGACAGTAATGTAGCGTGATTTTATCATTTGTGCTTAGTGATTAAAAGCAAAATAGCGTGATTTGAACATGGAGAGAAACAATTGTTTAAAGTTGCCTAGTTACTGATATTGACTGACAGCAATATGGCATGATTTTGCGTCACAAACAGTCGAATTTCAGGTACTTTTAAAACAACAGCAACACACCGGCCCCAGTTCAAACAAGTGCACCTGCTTCCACAGCTCTTCGTACTGCTGTTTCTTCGAGTCTGCTGGGGATACGCCTTCATTTTGCAGTTTGTACCCCCAAAGAAACATAGAGCCCTTCAAAATGAAGCTGTGGTTAATTGCTGCCATTATTCTCTCTATTGGAGTTCAAGCCGGTACGTGATTTCAGTTTATCACATTATGTTTTTATGTGCATACCCTTTCTGTCTGCATTTCTCTATTTTTGCGCCTACTCGCCATTTACAATCCGTAATTTTCGTAATGCCTTGCGCAAATTGCGTTTTATCTTTTGAAACATTTCGTTTCAAGTTAAGAGAAAATTTCGGCGAGATTTGAAAAATGAAGCGAACTTCGGTCGGAGTAAATTGCTTTTGCGAGGGAAGATTTTACATTTGTTTTTTTTCAGTTTTATCATGTTCCTTTTGTCGCTTCAGCCATGAGTATGATAATTCAGTAACATCAGTCGGCGCCTTCCGGAGATGCCACCGGCGGACATGGTTGAAACCTACATTTTATTTTCATTTTGAAATCATGGGTCGCTCAAAACAGTAAGGAACAAGACACTTTTTAAAAATCTTCATCATTCGAACTGAAAACAAACACTTGCATTATTTTTCAAGATTAAATATACTACTGAATTGCTTAAAAATTTCAAGGTGCAACCACCGCTTCTAGAAATAATCCTTTGCTGCTTGTGTTACCTGACAAGAGTGGATGGTTTGTTTCCCACCTCGTAGGCAGACAGCTTTCAGTACAGGTACACTTTAGTCACCTGGCCGCACCTTCGAGCCTGAGTGACACTTCTGGCTGCACCTTTGGGTAAACATTTGTCGCGACTTGAAAATTTTCCACCGAAGCTGAATAATCCTTAAACGCGCCGCCTACAAGTTTCATCCTAAGAATACAAACTGAAAAAAATCAACTAAAAAAATAAGGCTAATCTTTTCAATCATTTCTCTCAAAAGCTATAACCAGCCTGATAATTGAAATGAGTTCAATTTACCCCTCCGGAGCATAATTTTTCAGCAAATTATCCTCAGTCGTGCAGAAGGTCAAGGGAAACTCTCAGGGTCTAAAATAACTGAGGAGAATGTGTTGCCTGTGCTATGACATTCGCAAATGATTATAGACATTCTAGTATTCTTGGATAAGGACGATAAACAGTAGGTCCCGTCTCCTTCATCTTCTCTGTACTAGTTAGCGGGGGACGTTAAAGAATCCACGCACTTTTCGCAAAAAGAAGGGAAAGTACCTCCCAGTGTCGTGATCTAAGCACACCATAGGCAGTATTTTGTCAAGGATCTGAGTGAGACTTTTTAAAAGTCAAAAGACACACTTCAAGAAGAAGCATGTGGAGGTGTTACAGTAGTATACACAGAAAAAAAAAGCTCACAATGATGTACGATATCACTCCTTTTTTCGGGTGTTGGCAGAATTTGATAATATTAACCGTAGATACATAAATAAGCTAAAAATATCGGATAAATTTATGCTTTTAATCCGAGTGTTTGCCCGCCCGTGCGGACAGGGCATCGGTTTTTAAACTTAAAGCTTTCGTATAACGACACACTCGGCTGAGCGTTGTGCGTTACTTTTCCATTCTTATCACATTTTGACGACATCTGTGATTTATTACTGAACACATGCACAGCAACATAGAATAAATTTGTTAAGTAAATGATTAAGTTTTATTAATGCATTTTCACTGTTTTTTTTTCAGTGTTGAGCTTGAAGTGTTTGTCCTGCTTAAGTGACAAGTCATGGGATGACTGTAAAGGAAAAAGCAAGTCCTGCGTGGCTCCGGTTACCGATGATTGTATTAAGATGTACTTGAAATCTAGTTCAGAGGAATTATTCATGAGAGGTTGCAGTACCAATGATAACTGTGACACGAACATCAACGCTCTTTGTAGAGACGCCTACGAGTGTGACATCTATTGCTGTAACGGAGACGACTGCAATGCTAGCACAGCAACCCACATCAGCGGTGTTCTGTTACTGTCATGCGCCCTGGCATCTCTTTCGATCTTTTTCAAAGCCTGATTTGAGGTCACGTACGGCTTATGAGAAGTGCTGTAACTAAGTATACCGCTTTTGTAACGTAACGAATGCAAAACTAAGCCTGGGTACAGTAATGTTTATGTAGACAATTGCTTTGAATAGCTAGGATATGTAGTTGAGAAGATTTACTTGTTGGTCTGCTAAAGAGCATAAAGCAATTTTTTTTTCGTTTTGTGTGCAGCAGTGGTAGAAGTATAGGAACGTTTGTAATTTCTTTAAATGATGCAGCACTGAAAATATAATCATACCTTTTTTACCTTTACTGTACGGTTCTCTGAGTTGTGTACACTGAATACGGGGCCGTCAACGGGGTGATGGCTTTCACGGCTTACGGTTAAAATTTTGGCCATTTTAATTCTTTTCTATTACGGTACTCTCCAAATGACACATCATAGATGTAGACATCGTAGACTTTTTTTAACGACTAACGGCTAAAAATTTGTCCATTTTTACGCCTAACGGAAATAATCCCATTGAGACCCTCATAATAGCGTTATTAATATTTTTTTGTGAATTTCCCTAAAAGCCTTTTAAATGCTAAGTTTTTCTCCAACCTTTGTTCTGTGGGGAATAAGTAAAGAACCCACACTGTCGCTTTTCTAATTTCTCAGATCCTCTCGCGGACGCAACAAAGATATATCCCAGACTGACAAAAACTACAATCCATTGTTATCTTATCTTATGGACACACCTTGATCAAACGTAAGCTGATTGGCTATATAGATCTTTCAGACAAAAGAGAAACAAGCTTATTCATTAGAGTAGACAGAACGTGACGCTCGATTTCTGGGCCGATATTTCACAATCATTACATCAACATGAGCTTAAATCACTACTAAGTAACCTATTTCCGACAGTCCCCTCTCTTCTTTTATAGGTACGTATTTTCTCGTTCCGATCGCTTTAGGAATGCCCTCAATACCAGTTTTCATCAGTATTAGGCGAAGTTGCCAATTCGCAGAGGCCTGTCCGCCACCTCAGAAACAAAAGATGACGAATGTGAATTTCTATGAACTTAGAAAACTGTTCATTGCAAGAAAGACCGCACCGTTATTTTGTTCTTTTTGAAATAATTGTTTCAGAAACGACAACACTAAAACATTGAATTTGAAAATCTCATAATGGCTTCTTAGCTTCTATAAACTGTTGGAATCTCAGTAGACGTTAAATACTTCCAGTGGAACCAAATTTGAAAGTTAGAACTCTCTGCTTTCTCAGAAACAAGGTCTGCCCCGGTTCATGCTAATCAGTTTCGGGTCTGGAAATTGGTCCGGAACAATCCCAATTTTAAGGCAAGAGCAATTTTGTAGAGGTGAACCTTTTCATGATACTAGTTCAGCGTATGTCTGAAGAGTTACTGGGGTTAGAACTTACCTCTTCCAATCTGTGACCAGATGGGCGTGGTTGTCATGAATGAAATTTCAATGGCTTCATTTGTTATCAAACTCAAAACAGACACTGATCCTGGAAAACCGAATCAGAAAGCTCTATTGACATGGGCAACTTACTTGCCTCAAAAGAGCAGAAAATAAAACTCTTGAGACCATCCTGAAGGCTCCTTTTCCGGCATTTGATCAGTGGAGGAAGCTGTAACACATCTGCAAGCAGGGAAAGATCGTTCCTTTCGATTCGCAAGTCTACCCTGGAGTCAGCTTACCGGCCGCAAAATGGAGGTCGAATTGACGTTAAGACTTGGTATAGGTAATAATATGATATCGATTGCAATTTTCATCGGTAATAACATTATTTCGAGTTGTAAATGTTTCTTTTCAAGATAGAGTTGAAAACTCGATTCCCGGGTTGATACACGCGTATGCCATAAACTCCAAACCAATGTGTAGGATCTTTTTTTTCTTTATTCCATTTCCTATTCTTTGGGGCGTTCTGATATCGAAGCGGTCAAATGAAATCATTACTCGAGGGAATTATCTAAGTAGTGTGTGATCATAGCTTAAGAATAATGTAAATTTTGGAAACGAGCACGTGGCAATTAAAAGAGCCAAAACAAGCGATAAGCTTCGCTTTGAAGAAGAAATACGAGCTAGATAACATAATCACAAAACAAGTTATTGCTTACCAACGTTTGCGGGTCTTGATTATTTCATCGAGGATTACGGTCTAACCTGTCTTCCATTCAAAAAACGATCTTGACCACACGGGGTCTTAATATCCTGAACTGAAACGCTATAATTTTCTGTCCAAAAAGAACTTATCACGGAGGCGTCAGTCTAAACAAGAAAATATTTCGCAGCTTCTCTCGTAAGCGGTAACATTTAGCTTTGACTGAAGCGGTTACACGAGTGCGATGTGGCGTTAATAAGCACGAGGTAATTTTTTTCAAAGACAACAAAATTGCAGGAACCCTTGGGGCAAGTGTAATTTGTTGTCTGAAAAATTTACAAGACTGGTACCCCATTCACCGCAGGAAAAAATATTTAGTTAAACCTGGTTTAACTGTATGAAAATCAGAAACAGAGAACTGAAAACTGAATTTTCCATAGGATTTTAGTAATCACTAACTTGTATTTTCAGTGTGTTACATGTGAAGTTGACAAACAGTAGTTGAAATATCTCCTAGGAAGAATGAAATTTTTAAATGTGTGAACGAACAGCTTTTAATGGGTTTTAAACAAAGGCCAAATTAGAATCTTCACGTGTAGCAACTCCAGTCCCAGATTATCAGGCAAGCGAATAAAAGTTTTATTTGATAAGTTTCCCCGACTGACTCATACTCCTGGCCATCGCTTTGACTTTCAACTTCACTTTGTTTACATGAAAATATTTTGGAACTACTCCTGCACACAACCAACACAATTTCAAAGCCATTTCGAAGTCAGTCATTATTCGGGAATACGGAAACTGTTAAGACATTTGAACAGTTTCAAAGATCAGAATTATTTGTTTTTATTCGGCTATAAATCAGTTGGAATAAGATAAGTCGTTGTGATGTAATATTTTTTTCGTGCAAAACAGCGTGCTACCTAATAGCGAAGCTGTTGTAGGTTCAGTTTGCACTCAATTGAACCAATGAAATAAACGTAAATGCAAATATGTACATAACACTGTAAACAACTTTTATGAACCGAAATATCGACAACTATTTCAGAAGATGTTGAAGCCAAACTATTGCGACTTGAAACCAAAAGGATACCATCATCTTAAGTCATTGTTCGTATTATCAGCGAACAAAATACGATGCCAGACTTTATATTCCCTAGCTGGTTTCAGGGGACTTTGTCAAAGTGAATTTTGTTGCAAATCGTTGAATACTAAAAAGATGTTTGCGAAAAAAGGAAGCCATTGTAGTTAAGATGACTGTAAACTATGTCAATTTAACTTAAAAATCTCCACTTCGACTGAAAATCATTATGAAACATTTCATTTTCTTTTTAATTTCTGAATGATCCAACTGTTGTGTAATCTGCTGAGTAAACACCTACTCTGACAATCTTTAGTTACCCTGCAGCCAAAACTGCTGTTTACTGGTTTTTTTTTGTTTTGTTTTTTTTGTTTTCGTCGAAAAGCAAAAAATTCATTCATTTTGTAGACTAATGGACATTGTACGAGAGAAAAAACTGTCAGCGTCTTTCGCGACGTACAGGGTTTAAAAGTTGTTATTTGACTTTGTGTTAGCTGCCTGGGAAACGACCTTGACTTTAAATAATAATCCGGCTTTATTACACTTGTCCTGACCGTGCATCATAACAACATAAAGAATGAGGCGTTGAAAATAAAAACTTCAAAAAAAAGTGCTAAGAAAAAGAATGTAGAATCACTTCACCCTCCACCTTATCAGATGTAACATTCCGTTTGAAAAGGAACAATCCGCACATTTTCCAAGAATCGTTTCACGATGTTTGTGTGTCAACCAAACTAGAAAGACCCATTCAATAAAAAGCGGTAACATCAAAGAGATAAAACTAGAATATTAAAAGATTTGGCTGAAAAAATATTCAGTGGAAGGGCATATATTGAGAAATTTAGTCTCTGAAAATTCTCACACTATTTTGGAAGCTATCAGGAAATGCAGCTTTTTTTTTTTTTTTTTTTCATCTAGAAGGGTAGACTTGAAACATGAATTAATATATTGTATGATGTCCCGTGGATTCACACAACAACAGGTCAGATAAAGAATGAGAGAAAAGAACATCAATCAACTTGCACAGGACGAAATCACATGTTTCCGTATTTCTGAAACGTGGCGGAATGTTTAACATGCACAAAAAGTGGTCCGGTTCCGTTGTATACGCAGCAACGGAAAAGCGAGAAAACGTCACGAAACCGGTAACGGAAACACAGGTTATCCGTCGTGTTTCCAGAACGGTTTAACATGTTTCTGCCACGTTTCCGTTTACGGATTCTTGCAATTTCGTCCTGTGTTGACTCCTCATGCTCACTGTTTCTGTTTAGAACTCGGAAAATATATGAAAAACTAATTGCTTTTTTAATAATATTTATTTTATCACCATACGTTAAGTAATCAATTCTTGTTTCCAATGACGTCGAAACGACCTTTGGTAATATATTTCTTTTTAGCTACTTGCAATGTTGCCCCATGGCCGTCCCAGAAATCCCGATTACCGGCAACTCTCAGGCAGCACCGGCGTTTGTGACAAGACCCTACTCCCCGCCGCCACCACTACACTTAAAATCTCGCCTGTGATGCCTAAAAGGCATTCACATGCAGACTATTTCTGTAACTACTCCTTTCCGTGCCCGTGTTCAAATTTTATGTAGCATCATTGAGGTCGTTATTGTCTTGCTTAGTTTTCGTTTTCTACTTCTTTCAAATGTAAATCTCGTTATAATAATTAACAAGTGAGGCAGGGGGGAAAAACCGTATAGAATAAAAAAACATCTGCCCCCATTGAAAACAGTTAGTTTTGTTTTCCTAAGAGTATCGATGTTTCTAGAGAGTTTCAATGTTTCCCGGGAGTTCTGATGTTTACCGAGAGTCTCGACCTTTCCCAGGAGTTTCGATGTTTCCAGAGAGTTTCGATCTTTCCCGGGAGTTCCAGTGTTTAACGAGAGTCTCGACCTTTCCCAAGAGTCTCGATGTTTCAAGAGAGTTTCGATCTTTCCGGGAGTACCGGTGTTTACCGAGAGTCTCGACCTTTCCAAAGAGTCTCGATGTTTTCAGAGAGTTTCGATGTTTCCCGGGAATTCCGGTGTTTACCGAGAGTCTCGACCTCTACCAAGAGTCTCGACCTTTCCCAAGAGTCTCGATGTTTCGAGAGAGTTTCGATGTTTCCCGGGAGTTCCGATGTTTACCGAGAGTCTCGACCTTTTCTAAGAGTCTCGATGTTTCCCGAGACGAAGTGGAGGAAAACATTAGAGATTTAAGCAAACTACGACGGCAACAGCAACAAGGACTCAGCAAAACAAAGATCTAATGAGCAGAACAAGAGCTCAGCGCGAGCGCTTTAAAACCGTGCATTTCGTAGTCGTCCCCCGCAAAATAACAACGTGAAATCACCAAAATTTGCATGGTCTGAGAGAAGAAACACCTGACGGGAAAACCCGAAACCCATGTTTAACTTTATTTCTTGTACAGCAGTATTTCCAGTGTCGTTTTGCTGCAGCAGGTATTTAATTTCGTCTTTTCATAAAGCAAGATAGCGCTTTTCTTTTAGCTACAGGCTCTTACATTGTGTTTTCAAAGAACTAGGGAAGAACTGGCGACAAATAAGCCTCGAAAATATCACGCCACAATCATACCACTGGCCTCAGTCACGTTCTGATCTCGTGAAAAACCTGAGCATTCAGGGATACATTTGAATTTATGCAAAACACAACTCCCCTATCTAGAACGAGGGTAACAAACTATTGTTCAATGTTTATTGTTGCCTAGTTACTGAGACTGACTGACAGTAACATAGCGTGTTTTTTTATTTAATTATGAATAATTGACAAAGGGTGCGTCTAACACAGAGTTGCAAGTACTTAAGGAGTGCGCCAGCTCTCATTGCCTCCAGTTCAGCCCGCTCGTCGACGCTTTGTGACTACGCCTCCAATTTTCAGTTCTTGAATCTCAAGGAAACATCAAGCTCTTCAAGATGAAGCTGTGGTTTGTTGCTGCCATACTTATCTCCGTTGCGTTTCCATCCGGTAAGTGATTTCATCGCAAAATGCATTTTTTATCCACATCCTTTCGGATTGCAGCGAGTAACTGTAAGGCGAAGCCATCGTCGAAAAAAATGTTAGATTCGCCACCAGTGCAGTAAAACAGAGAGTAAAATTTTGTTACATATCAATTTATCGCAATTGAAATGAAAATGTCGGAGTCACTAAGATCGCTTCAAGCCTTCAGACAGAGACTAATACACGGGACAGAAAATTATCCCTAACAATTTCATTCATGATTTGAACTTCGATAAAAACAGAACCCTACTCCCGGTAATGAATTTATCTTTTGTTACAGATCTGAATCTTTTCGCTTTGAAGGTCAGCATTCTCTGATTGGCAAACTTACCTCGCCTTCTTTATTGAAACTATCCACTGCTGTGCAAATACCACATATTCGAGTTCAGCTCGAAAGTAGATCGTGAAAGATTTTCTTATAAATTATCGATTGGTTAATTTGCAAACTTCTTAAAGTCAAATGTTTCCATTTCTGTTTATTTTTTCGCTTTTAGTTTTTCCGACTTATCAGTGCCCGTGGCCTTTACATCTGTGTTCATCTGTACACACATTTCTTCAGTTTAATTTTGAATGAGAAAAAAGCTTCGATATCGACGCACATCTTTGTTCGTTTTTTTGGAGGTCCTTCAGGGTTGGTTTTCGACTCGAGAAGTTTTCTGTTGTTTAGGTCAAAATCCGTCGATTTTGGAACTATACTTTAAAGCAACAGTTTGCACTCAATAACTCACAGATCGCTTTGTGTACATTACGCTTTCTCTCCCTTCACTTGAAATCTAAATGAAAATTCGGTACGATTTGAAAATAAAGTGAGTTTCGGTTGCCTCGAAATGCTCATATGAGGGACGATTTTCATGTTCTTGTGAGGTATAATTTTTTTATTTCGCCCTAACAAAACCTTGAGAGCGAGTATTCAAATCAAATTGGTCTGTTCTTCTCAGATAATTTCGTGCGCACGGTTAAACGATGCACGAATTTGTTTTTTCGTTTCTGTAACATGGATCAGTGAAAAAAAAACAATGAAAAAGAGTGTTTTCAATTATAGGTCAGTCGAATCTAACCACGAAGCCTAACAATTTCTAGCTTTAGCACTGTCCCTGCAAGTCAAGAACGTGACTAGACGCCTGTCCGACTTCAAGAAACACCTTCTAATATATCGCTCCGAGCGCTTCAAGGGCCGAGGACAAACAATCGAGACTTATTGCAAAGCCTTTTGCTAGAAAAGGCCGCATCATGGCTTTCCTTCCTTTTTTTCTTTTAACTTTTGAGAATCGTTATTTGCACGAGCCCGGGCAATCTTCGTCCACGATTGTTGAAAGACATCAAAATTTTTATTACAAGACGAAGGTAACAGAAAATTCTTAATAACATCTCAATGATATCCAACAGCCATCGTTGAAATTGTTAGTTCAGCTCACAAGCGGCACCGTATGAGGCACTGTTTTGTGATGTTAGACAGTTTTTAATGAGTTTACACTCGAATGGATCTGGACAAAGATATCGTTCCCTGTTAGCTAGGCGTCATGTCGTGCTTAATCTGTCCACAGCGTTTTTAAATTTCGAAAGTAAATTACCTATACAGCGACTTTATTTTCTGATCTTTTAAATCAAGCAGGGTCTTGAGCTCCAAGGATTCAGTAGCAAGGGTTTGTACTTAGCGTTGCATTATGGTGTTGACACGAAGAAGCAATTTAAGTCCCTTAATTACTTTGTGATCTTAGAAGTTAATTAAAACTCTTTCTGCAAGGGCAAAAAAATAACACAGGAATGTTTAGTGAGTAAACAAGGCTGCCGGTTATCGAAATGTTAAAAGATCAAAGTAAATTGAAATTGCTTCTTTGCATAAATGTACTGATTGTGCTTGAATTTTCAAATTTTGTATCAAATTTCTCATTTGGGAAAAACTAGGTCAGTTAAAAACGGTAGAAATTGTTATCTCATTCATCTTTATCTAAGCATTCCTTGTCGTGTACGTTTTCAGTTTTGGGTTTGAAGTGCATGACCTGCACCAGTGCTGAGTCGTGGGATAAATGCGAAGGAAAAAGTACGACCTGCGTGGCTCCGATGGCCGATAAGTGTGTCAAAACCTACTTGAAAGTTGGCTCAGTTGAAACTTTCACTAAATCGTGCGGATCCGAGGCTTACTGTGATAAAGAAAGCAACCCTACTTGTAAAGCCGCCAGTGGATCCTTTGAGTGTAAAATCGACTGCTGCACAGGCGACGACTGCAATGCTGGCGCAGCAACGCGCATCAGTGGTATTCTCTTGTTGTCATGCGCCCTGGCCTCTCTGATGATGTTTTTCAAAGCCTGAGACTTGACTGAGTTCGAGGTTGAGATCCAGCACGGCTCATGATCAAGGCCTCAACTAGTTACACGCTTTTTTGAAGTATGTCAGTTGTGAATTAGAATAGAACGTCTTGCTTAAGACATAGTAGTAGTCTGTAGGAGGATCTTCGTGAGACGGAGACGAAGTCAGGTCGATTTTAACTTACAAGAGAGGATGCTAGTCCGTCATAGTCTGTCACGTACTGTGCTTATTAGTTAAAGTAAAATAAAGGCTTTTTCAATTTTGTTACATAATGCTGCTGTGGGAAATAAAACGCTGTTTCTAACTACCTCTTCTTCAAGATTCTCTGATTTGATCAGTCCTAGGCATTACAGGAATCATATGGTTAAAAATTCCACTCTTCCTCCACATTGCGGCGAAATTAACATAAGCTTATGTGCATTAATAGGTACACTGCTTGTTAGAGTAACCCGTAACACGTTAAATATCATTATCGAGACCATTAAATTTGTCCGGTGGCCCCAAATAAAATGATATCCGTTGTATGTATCACGGTGTTAGCTAAAGTTGTGGCACCCAAATATTTTTCTCACCCTGCCTAAAAAAGTTTCCAATTTTTCACAACTTCGCCTGTTCGTGCTCGTAAAACTCCCTGAAGAAGTCCACAAAACGAGTCGGAGGTTAAAGAAGTCTTACAACTGTTCACAGAGTTCAGCTCATTAGTTTAGTATTAAAATATTCTTCCAAAAAATTTCAATACGATCCGACTATGACTGGTCAACATGACTGGCAAGACGACTAAGCTTGATCTGTCAAATCCCCGATCACTCCGGACATTGTCCGCTTACCG